TGCTCGAGTCGACCCAATAGTCACTGTCGAGGCTGCCGTGTGATGGTGGGTGTACGCCCACATTGATGCGGCTCGTGCGCGGACTGTGATTGTGAGAAGCGCCATGTCACCACTATCAAATTGGGATGATTGAATCAGCTTACATGCGCTTTGCTTACCATGTAGATGAGACTAGGTGGGATGCCGTGTCGTTGCAGTCACAAATCGGCCAACCCAACAGGATCACTGCTTCACCGTTGATGGATTGACGGTCGGGCCTCGTACGAAACCTCGCGGAGGCTAAGCGGTAAGATTGTCAGCCGGGCCTAGTCTTGGACCTGGGGGCCTCGGAACCAAATGCAACCATGAATCAAGTGGCAGATTTGGTCGGCCTGGCAGGATCATGGCGCGAGCCGGCTTGGTGCATCGACATTGAACAATGTCATCGGTGGGCAATGGTCGGACTGTGGGCTACTCAAGTTCCCGACCGGCGATGGATGCGTTTCTTGTTGCATTGCAGCTTGCATTCCTGGACGGCCGTGTCGCGCAAAATCTCGGTGGAAAGGGATTTCGGTTGAAAGGGAGAAACGGCCTGGAGGTTGGAATCGAGGAAAAGCAAGAAGATAGATGGTGGAGAAGTCCGAGTCCAAGATGGTGAGCGCTTGGAGGCCAGGAGAGGGCAAGGAAGGTATGAGCGACCCAGTCTACGCCGTAGCGTCTGTCCGTCGCCGGAAGAAGGAGGCATTTGAGGCAAGGAAGGTACTTTCCGCATAATGCATTACCTCAGTTCAGAAAGCAAGAAGCAAGGAGCGACATGGGAAGGCAAAGCAGCAAGCGGAGTCAGGGGCGAAGGGTAGACGAAGGAAGCACAGAAGAAACCACCAAAGATTGTGCGTCCGCCATTCTAGCATCATCATAAGCTCGATTCCCAAATCGACTCACCAGCACCAAACGCCAAACCTTGATCTGCCCGCCTTGATCTCCTGCAAGATCCTAAGTCCAAGCGTAAACTTTCTGCAGCTTTTGAGCGGTTCACATTCCTCAAGTCACGATTCTCCGTCCAGATTCCGAGACAAGAGGGATGAGGGGGGAGGGGGTGAGAAAAAGCATCGCTTTGCTTGACATCTCTCGCCTCCTTCCTTTTCTTGGCTGGCCATCAAGCCGAAAGAAATCACCAGTGGCCGATACCACACCGATCAATGGGCCCAGCCTTCGTTCCCTCTCCTTTGCCCCCTACAGAAGAAACATCATGCGCCCAGGCGAAATTTCGCCCACGAGAACATTGCTGGGAAGGAGTCCGGTCTACTCACCTACACGTTACATCCGGCCGAACAACGAAACCAGGCACCAAGACCAGTCGCCCCGCGCCGGGTTTGAAGACCGTGGTGATCGTCATCATGAGCCACCCTGACTGCTGGCTGCCCGACAGTTCCTTCGATCCACCATGGCGGCTCGGTTCCCCGTGATGAAGGGTGACTGCGAATGACAGACCTACACATCGAGCTGTGATTCCAATGTCCACAACCCCTCGAATTGAGTTCACAGGGGTTGGGTGGAGGGCTCCGCCAAACGCTTGCCCATGATTTGCGCTGCTGTGCGCCCTGGCAATCTCTACAGCACAGTGTATCGCAGTCTGATTCGTCCTTCAACAGTTCGCGTAACAGCAGTACTGGTACGTTCGTCTGGCTTCCTAACATTCAATGGCGTGCGGTCGGCCATTGCAGCTATTACCGTTACCAAAATTTACAGGTTGGAGAAACGCAGCCAAGGCCAGAAAATAAAGGTATGCGTATTTCGATTTTCGTTCTGTTGCGGACGACTGGGTACCAGAAATTGTACATGTAGTACTCGAGGTACATGTACACGGACCCTCTTCTCTGTCTCAATCAGGAAGTGGGACAGAACACCTGGAGAAGCCGAAGAAGACTTGCTGATGCCTTCCAGCTGGCCGGGGGGGGGGGGG